TATAGCAAATAATTAGGCTAGTCTAAGCATCTATTGTAGGAAAGCATATCTGATGTTTACTTCACGTTTGACTTTTAATGAACATATTTGCAACCTTTCACATTATCTTTGTACTTGTTCTAAATGGTAGATGTCAAGCGCTGTCAAGCGCCCTCTTGTGGATACTTACCAGTTATGACTGTTTGGTTGACAGCCTTAGAGCTCAGCCCATAGCAACACAAAAATGAGCCCCATTTAAAAGACAATCTGTCAACATAATAAGCAATGCTTGGCCATATGTTTCATTATTTTTAGCAGTTTATCTTGCACTGAAATGGCTCTAGAAATACAAAGTGAGCTTGCTTTAAAAAGTAGGTTGGGTTATTTGTATGTTAAGAGGCTAATACCAATTCTTTATTCTTGTAGATGTAGAGAGTTCTGCATCAGATGCAAGGAAGGGTGTAGCTTAAAACCCTATTTATGCTTTTTTATTTTAAATAAATACCCCTTTTTTTTTCTTTTCTTTTCTTTTTTTTTTTTGCTCACGCGCCTCGTGCACTGGCATGGATAGGGGCCCACTGACATTGAGAGTGTACAGGGCCCAGAATTTGGTGCTACGCCCCTGCTCTCAAGTACAACACACACCGCCACCATACGCCACGCGTCAAAACGCCCGCCTCCATTATATTCTATGAACAAACCCACACTGGGGCTGCGAGAAAAGCCTTTTATGTATGTCTCTGCCGCCGTAGTATCAACTCAAAGGGATGCTTAACGTTATTAAGTTTTTCAAATTTTTAATAAGACGATTTTGATAAGAAACTCACCCGTGAAATTCAAGTTCTTGTTGCCTCAAAGCTTTTCCTCTTCTTCTTCCGTTACTAGCAGTTGGCAACCGTTGAAAACTAGCGTAGGTACAACCACCTAGCGGGCTGGAGTGGGAAATACACTTAATGTTGACGGTGCTGCTGCGCGCCACTGCCAATGTGTGTTGGGGGCCGGCACTTGACGGCCACAACGCCGCGCCGGCAGCAGTGTTTGTTGCACTTCATTCTTTGCTGGAATCCCACACATTTCTTTTAGCATGCATTGCCTCCAAGGCGAGCTGCTATCTGTCTGTTTGTTTGGGTTTAGTGCTGATCAGTGCGTCATTCCATGTTGCAATTCTGTTGGTTGGTTAGTAGACGTAGGTGGTAACAGCAGTCACACAGTGAGATGGTCATCCCAAATTTCTGACAGTCAGAATTTTATCCCAGGCTGTCTCATAAGGACGTGACAATGGCCATCCTTGAACCTCTCTCACTGTGTGACGTAGGACCACTGTTTTAGAGCCATGATCAAAGAAACTTTCATCTGGGACAGACTGAAATCGCACAGTATATACCGGGCTTAACAGGATAAAACAATGATATAATGACATTTTATATCGAAAAGGTCAAAGGTCAGCTTGACTGTGACATCATCACATTTTAACGTCATATCTCAGGAACAGAAGGGGAGACATTTGGTCAGATACTGAATTGGTGACTCTAATCTTGAAACTGTGCTGATTGTATAGATCTTCTGTGTGTGAAGCATCCATGTTTTCACTGACATGGATGGAGACTGTCAGAGACACTGGACTGATGGGTGGAGTCATACAACAGCAAGGAGGTAACTGGGATGCATTGTGTTGTAGTCACTCTGCAGACCTTTTAGACAATCCTCCTCCTCCAAACCCAAATTCCCAAAACATTTTTGGTGTTTTTATAGATGCATATCATCATCTACACACGCAGCATGTTTTCACTGAACCCAATCAGTCATCAGAGCCAGTAGGCCTCGAGGAGGAAACTTCTCATTCCACACTTACACTCCCTATTTGACCTCATTTTCTCTCCACCCTTATTTGTTCCCATTAGCCTTTTACATACTCTCATCCCTCCTTCCACCACTTATCATGCTCCCACCACTCCCTCCATAGAGTAAAAAAAGATGAATAATAAAGATAAATAATTGTCTTCTGTA